GGAAAAGAGGAATCAATTCCGATTGTTAATGAATATCCATAAGTCTTTCCAGAATACTTATCTGGATTACCACAAGATAGAGTCATTGAATTTCGAATTGATCTTGTACCAGGGGCTGCACCAGTAGCAAACGTACCGTATCGGTTAGCTCCATCTGAATTGAAAGAATTGGTAGCACAGTTGAAAGATCTAACAAATAAAGGGTTTATTAGACCCATCACTTCGCCTTGGGTGCTCCGGTCTTATTTGTCAAGAAGAAAGATGGATCTATGCGAATGTGTATAGACTATCGTGAATTGAACAAATTGATAATTAAGAATAAATATCTGTAACCAATGATTGATGATTTGTTTGATCAGCTGGTGGGAGCAAGTTATTTCTCCATAAATGATTTAAGATCAGGGTATCATAAGCTCAAAGTCAGAAAGGAAGACGTTGCTACAACAACATTCATAACTAGGTACGGGCATCATGAATTCCTAGCTATGCCATTCGGCTTAACTAATGCACCCGCAGTCTTTATGGATTTGATGAATAGGGTATGTAAGGAATATCTTGATAAATTCATTATTGTATTTATAGATGATATTCGTATATATTCTAAGACTAAAAAGAGCACGTGGAACATCTTCGTCTGATTCTGGAATTAGTGAAAACAAAAAAGTTGTACGCAAAGTTATCCAAGTGTGAGTTCTGGTGTCCCCCCCAGTCAAGAATTGGGGCCTCTCACAAATTTCAAATACTAATTTGTTAAGAATTAATCGGAAATTCCTTGTCGGGTAAGTTCCGACCCGCACGAAAGGCAGATGAATTTACAAAAAGAATTTAGGTTAAGAGAAGTCCAATTCCTGGGTCACATTATCTCAGAAGCAGGGGTAAGAGTAGATCCAGTTAAAATAAAAGCAGTTTCAAAGTGAGAAGCTTCGAAAACTCCTATAGAAGTCTGAAGCTTTTTGGGATTAGCCGGCTTTTATCGTAAGTTAATTCAGGACTTTTCTAAGATAGTCGTGCCATTGACTAAATTGACTCAGAAGAACATCAAATTCCAGTGGGAAGGAGAACAACAAGAAGCTTTCCAACTATTAAAAGATCATATTTGCAGCGCACCGGTATTAACTCTACCAGATGGATCTGAAGACTTTGTGGTTTACAGCGATGCTTCAAAATTGGGGTTGAGATGTGTTTTGATGCAAAGAGGAAAGGTGATTTCTCATGCATCGAGACAATTGAAAGATCATGAGAAACAGTATCCAACCCATGATATGGAATTAGCTGATGTGGTGTTTGCTTTGAAAATCTGGAGGCATTATCTTCTGGGAACGAAGTGTCAAATTTATACTGATCATAAAAGTTTACAACATTTGGTCAGCCATATAGAATTAAATATGAAATAGCATCGGTGGATTGAACTGGTTAATGATTATGATTGTTAAATCCTTTACCACCCGGGAGAAGCTAACGTGGTAGCTGACTCTTTAAGCATAAAGGAAAAGAGTGGAACCATTAAAGCAGTGGCAATGAGAATAAATTTGATCCCTGATATTCGTAAAGAAATTCAAAGATGTCAACACAAAGCTACAAAATAAGAAACTGTTAAAGCAGAAAGGTTGGGTAAGATGATTTCAACCTTGGAACCGAACAACGAAGGACTAATGTGCTTTCAAGGCCGAATCTAGGTACCATGTTTTGGAAATATCCGGAACACTATATTAAATGAAAGTCTTAAGTCCTGATACTCTATTCATCCAGGTACCAATAAAATGTATAGAGATTTAAAATCTTTTTATTGGTGGCCCGGATTGAAGAGAAATATAGCTAGATATGTGGAACTGTGTCTAACATGTTTACAGGTTAAGATTGAACATCARAAGCCGTATGGAAGTCTTCAATCTTTAGAAATACCTGTATGAAAATGGGATCACATTAAAATGGATTTCGTCATGAAGTTACCTAGAACTCCAAAGGGGTATGACGCAATATTGGTAATTGTTGATCGTCTGTCTAAATCTGCGCATTTTCTTCCAATAAGAAAGAAGTACTCTCTAGAAAAGCTAGCAAAGACTTACATTAAAGAAATTGTAACCAGACATGGAATTCCATTATCTATTATCTGTGATCGAGATAGTCGGTTTACTTCAAAGTTCTGGGAAGGGTTGTAGAAAGCTTTGTGATCTGAAATCCGACTAAGCACAGCTTATCATCCGCAAACTGACGGACAGAGTGAAAGAACTATTCAAACTCTCGTAGACATGTTGAGAAGTTGTATTATTGACTTCAGGGGATCGTGGGAAGATCACTTGTCGTTGATAGAGTTTGCATATAATAACAGTTACCATTCCAGCATCCACGCGGCATCGTATGAAGTATTATATGGACGTAAATGTCGAACGTCATTGTGTTGGAACGAGGTAGGTGAAAGACAGTTGATGGGTACTGAGATTGTCCAAGAGACTTCTGAAAAGATCAAACAGATTCGTGAAAGAATTAGAACATCACAAGATCGCAAGAAAAGTTATGTTGATAATCATCGAAAGCCGATTGAATTTTATGTGGGTGATTTTGTGATGCTGAAAGTTTCACCGTGGAAGGGTGTCATCAAATTTGGAAAGAAAGGTAAGCTCAGTCCGACGTATGTTGGACCATTTAGGATATGTAAGTGAATTGGGCCAGTGGCATATCATTTAGAACTACTAGAACAACTAAGTCTGATTTACAACACTTTCCATGTACCGAATTTGCGAAAATGTTTAGCCAATCCGAGTCTAGCTGTACCACTTCCAGAGATTAAACTGGATAGTAAACTGAATTTTGTGGAAACACTGGAAGCTGTAATTGACCGAAAGATCAGCGTGTGGAGAAACAAAGAGATCAGTCTGGTTAAAATTCAGTGGAAGTTTCACAAAGGACCAGAAGCGACATGGGAATTGGAATCTAAAATAAGATCAGAGTACCCTTGGCTCTTCGATTAAAGGAATTCCGGGACGAAATTCTTTTGAGGGGTGAATGATGTGGTAACCGGATCCTGGTTGTCACCGGAGGTAATGAATACGTGATTATTTGTTATACATGATTATGTGACAGCATGATAAATTAATATATTTGATCATGCTAATATGTGAAATTATGTGCATAATGTTGATGCATGAATGAGGTTATGGGTAATTGTGGGTTCATATGAATGCATGATATATATATATATATATATATATATATATATCCACATGCATGATATTTGAATGCATGGGTGTGCGAGGTAAGATGCATGCATGTGAGGAGGCTGTGTTGGCCGACCTTTCTTGTTTTAGAAAGGTATAAAAGGAGGGTTTGACCTCCATTTCATCTCCCTTGCTATATTCAAAAAGTTTAGAGCGATTTAAGAGAAAGAAAGAGATTGTCCGGATTTCTTATTTTGCATCGCAAGAAGACTGATTTTCAAAAGGCTTTAAAGGTGAGTGGTTAAACTGCCTTGAACCTTTTTGGATTGCATATTGATTATGTTTTAAATGCTTTATACATGATTTGAGTTTTACTTGAATAAGCATTGAGCGATTTAAGTTAAACCGGATAAAGGGTGGGCGGGTTTAAGAGTAAATCGATCAAAGCATGAGCGGTTTAAGGCCAAACCGCTTAAGGCATTAAAAACGATATGGTCCTAAACCAGATGAGGGTTGAGCGGAATAAGGTTTAAACCAGACATACCTTAAACGGTTTAAGAGTAAATCGATCATTTGAATTAGCTGGTTTATATGTCAGGCGATTTATGAACTTTAAATCTTGTTATGAGTTTAAATTGGAGAAGTATGAATACGGCTAAGTGATGGCCGGTTTATTTGTAATCAGATAAACCTTAAGAAGATTTGTTCGGATTAATAATCCGGACAAAATATTAAGAATGTTTCTAAGTGGTAAATCGGGCAAGATGGGAAGAGTTGTCCGGATTTGTTATCTGGACAAGGTTGACCGGATTGTATTTTGACTTATCATTTTATTGATCTATTTACAAGAAATGGGAATTGTTGATAAAAATGAATTTGAACTGATAATAATTCTGTTGACTGCAGTCTATTCCATATGGAATTGTTTTATGAAATATTTTGATGAAGAGATAAGGGTGGCATATCAAGGAGAGGTGTACATTTGGATATAAGGGGGGCATTTGTTTGTGCGTATTTCGTAATATAACTCTTACTATTATATCCCTTAAGATTTACGTGGTTTGAAATCTTTATTTTTTTGTGATTTAAAGATTTAGAATCAGGGTTCTTAATGAGAATCATAGTCTGGATGTTATAAAAGAGAAGATAACAGGTTTGGCAAGAAACTGTAATTAAACCTTATTTCATTCAAGAGGTTTAAAAGTAGCGTTCTGATAATTGATTAATGATAACCTGTCTTGTTTCGATATATTGTTTAAAAGCAGAGATTAATGGCTTGAATAATGAAAGGTATTGGCGTTATGCTCTTACTTGTTCATATATTTGTGATATATATATGAAAAGTTATTTTACTTAAAAGTTTTGGTGATTTTCACCCTGCAATAACATAAATAGGGTAACTCACTAGACCTTTTGGTCTAACCCTCGTTTTGTGATTTTAAATATGTATTGCAGGAAATGCGGATAGTAAGGGAAAAGGGAAAATGTGATAATTTTCCCCATATGTTTAGTTGCATGAAGAATTGGTGATGATATGTATAGTTTTGGTTGACGATCAGGGATTAGTACAAGAATTTGTATTTTAAATTTTTGGACTATGTATTTTATACTGATAGATTCATGTATTAACGGACCAATGTGGGGTATAATATGCATTTCTTATGTATGAAGTATGTGTTTCATGCAATGTGTGGTTTGGGGTGTTTCAGAATTTCATTGTTGTCCAGTGAGGTGTCTTTTCCTTGACCGATAACTCCTTCCACCGGTGAGGGGGTTATTATTCTTGAAGATTTCAAATCCAGTCTTTGTCTATATTTCTGAAAAGATCACTTTCAAGTCTTAAAGATGTCGAAACATATGTTAAGTATTGGTTCTGATTCTAAGCCTCCAGTTGTTGCTTTTGGAGAATATTTGCAATGGAAAGTTCGAATGGTTCATTTCCTTGACAATAAGGATGAGAATATTATGAAATCGATAAAGAATGGACTTCTCATTAGTTATATGGATCTATCTGAGCAGACTACCGCTAATGGGATAGTCGTGCTTGCTTCCAAGATAAAGAAAGATCCACAACACTATACTAAAACTGAAAAACAAAGGGTCCTTATTGACAAGAAAGCTTTGACTTATATGTTAATGGCCATTCCTAATGAACTTTTTAACAGAGTTGACAGCAGAGGCTCAGCAAAAGAGTTGTGGGATGAGTTGGAAAAACATATGTTAGGAAGCGAAAAGTCTATTCAGACACGGATGAATCAGTGCGCCAGTGCTTATGAGGGATTCAGGGCACATGAGAATGAATCCATTCTTGAATCCTACAACAGATTCAATGTAAATCTGAATGACTTGAGAAGGAATGGTATTCAGAAATCCATGTTTGAAATAAATTATAAGTGTTTGAAGAATTTGAGGTCAGAGTGGTACTCTCTTGTAGTGAATCTACAAATGAACAAGAATATGTCTGAAGAAGACATTCATGATATATACAGTATCCTGTACGAGCATGAGGAAACTGTTAGAGAGTTAATGACTGAAAAAGAAGAAGGTGGTTAACTCTTTAGCTCTTCTGTCAGGGAATCAAGCAAAGGGTAAATCAGAAGGAAAGAGCTCCAAGTCTTTGAAGATAGAGTTATCTAAATAGATTGAGAGTGAATCAACTGAAAATTCCTCTATTGACTCAGATGATGAGATTAGAGAGTTTTCAAAAAAACTTGCTTTGCTGAGACAGTAGTTTCAGAAGAGGTTCAAAAAGAAGAAGAAGTTTGTAAAGTTTGAGAAGAGTAAGGGAAAGGAGGTCAGGCTTGAGAATTTTGGAAGAGCCAGAGACCAGAAGGATGCTCAATCTGAAAAGAGCAGATGTTTTAATTATGGAAAGCTTGGTCACTATATCAAAGATTGCTGGTTTAAGAATCAAATTACAATCTCAAGAAGGTTAATCTGGAAAAATCCCTTGAGGACGGCAAGGCTTTGGTAGCTGAAGAGGAAAGCTGACTGATTGACTCGTCAAATGATGAAACTGCTCATTTTACCCAGGTAAACATGTGCTTAATGGCAAGAACTGAAGCCGATGGCTCATCATCTGAGAACGAGAATGAGGTAATTTTCTTCGAACACGGAACTTAGGAAGGAAACTGAGAATATGAATGTTGAGTTTAAAGTTTTAAATAATAGATTAAAAGGTGAAAGATATTTAATGTTGAAATTTTAAGAAGAAAGTTACGGATTTAAATGGTTGAGTGAGGGTCTAAGAGAAGAAAAAGAAATTCTTAAACCTGAAAAGGCTTGAAAATGACTTACTGTTGCTTAAAAAGAAATTAATTGTTGTTGAGTGTGAGCGAGATAATATGCAGTTGTGTGGTCACTTTGATGATCAATCTTCAATACATCTTAAGAATCCATGGCAGATCTGGATCTAATACTCAAGAACATTGAGAGGAGATTTGAGAGAGAAAGTCAAACATTTAAATCTAGTCAAACCTTCTTTTACGTAATCTGATTTACAAATGAGCTCCCTTCTTCTAACAATTACAAAGGCATCACCCTATTTATAGGGGTCAAACTTCTAAACATAGTCAAAGTCAAACTCCTATAAGAAAAGTCAAACATGATGACTTTTACAATTATAGACAATATTTAACTTTCAAGACGAATACAATTTAATACTGATTTTTAGTCCTAACATTCTCCCCCTTTGTATTCAGACTTGAAAGAAATTCTACACTTTGAGTCCTGTTTGAACTTTGAATCTTTAAGCACATTATGTCTTCTTTCAAAAGAATTCTTTAACATGAAATCTTCAAACAATCAACTGTTGAGATAGATCTTCTAGCATTCTCCCCCTCGAATGTAGAATCGCGATGATCTTCTCTTTTGACAATGTAGAACAATAATTATCAGAAACAATGTACAAAATGTTATCTTCAAAGGATCTTCAGAATTAATCTTCAGTAAACTATTGTAAAGATGATCTTCACATTTAACATCTCTCAGTCGTTGTTGCACACGAATAATCTTTCTGTAATTATCTCCAGTCGCACTTCTTTTGAGTCTTTTGCCAATTTCGAAGTTACTCCCCCTTGATCTTTGCATCAGATTCCCTTTAAAAAGTTCGGAAATGAATATTTCATTCATTATTACATACTCCCCCTTATGATGAAATGAGAATCATTCCATAATACATAAGATGAATGAAATCTTCCGCGTAAACCGTCAATTCATGAAATTTTAAGTAGATCTTTGCAAATCCACTTATTTAATCTTTTTAGATTAAGGGAATGGGAAGATAACAACCAACTTCAACGAATGAAATTGTTTTCAATCTTATAAAAAGATTGGCCTGTGAGTATAACAAATATACTCAGTACAACGGATGTACTATATATATGAGACTTTTTGTTGCTCATCTCACCAGGTCTTCCATTCAATCATTGATAGCTAAAAAATAGCATATCTATGAATGTTTTGGCAAATTAACATATAAAATGCTAAATC